ATGCGCCTGGGGCGTGCGCGCGGGGCATGTGTCTAAGTGTGTCCACGGCCCCTAGGGGGGGACCCAGCGTACTGCGCCGGATGCTTTACTCGTAGAGAGGGGGGGGGGGGGGGCCCAACATGCGCCTGGCGCCTGCGCGCGGGGCACGTATTTTCACGTGTCCAAGGCCCCCAGCGAGGGGCCCAACTTGGGCGCGCCACATTTTCCACAAGTGGAAATACGTGCGCCCAGGGGGGACCCACCCAGCTCGAACCTGCCGGGAAGCTTTACACGTGAAAATGCGTGCGCGGAAAGGGGGGGCTCAACGTGCGCCTGGTGCGTGCGCGCGGGGCGCTCGTTTTCATGTCCACGGCCCCCATAGAACTACGTGCGCGGAAGGCGGGGGTCCATCGTGCGCCTGGCGTGTTCGGAGGGGGACTGTACTTTCACGTGTCCACGGCCCCCAGTGCGCGGAGGAGGGGGGGACCCAACCTGCGCCTGGCGCGTATTTTCACGTGTCCACGGCCCTCAGGGGGGGGACCCAGCTTTGGGCGCGTCGGATTCTTCACAAGTGACAATGCGTGCGCCCAGGGAGGGGCCCCCAACCTGGGCCCGCCAGATGCTGTGCACGTGAAAATGCCTTCGCGGAGGGGAGGGGCCCAACATGCGCTTGGCGCGTGCGCGCGGGTACGTGTATTTGTACGCGTCGACGGCCCCCAGGAGGAGACCCAATTTGGGCGCGTCGGACTCCTTACATGTGAAAATGCGTGCGCGGATGGGGGGCCAACATGCGCCTGGCGCGTGCGCTCGGAGCATGTACTTTTACGTGCGAGCGGCCCCCAGGGGGGGTCCCAACTTGTGAGCAGGGGGGACGCAACATGCGCCTGGTGCGTGCGCGCGGGGCACGTGTTTTCACGTGTCCACGGCCCCCAGGGGGGGGACTCAACTTGGGCCTGCCGTATTCTTCACACGTGAAAATGCTTGCGCAGAGGGGGGGGGCCCAACATGCGCCAGGCGCGTGCGCGCGGGTCAAGTATTTTGACGTGTCCGCGGAGCCCAGCGAGGGATCCAATTTGGCCCGTCGGATTTATTCACGCGCAGAATCTGTGTGCGGAGGGGGAGGGGGACCCGGCATGCGCCTGGCGCGTGCGCGCGTGGCACGTACTGTCACGTGTCCACGGCACCTGCAAAGATACGTGCGCGGGGGAGGGGACCCAACATGCGCCTGGCGCGTGCGCGCGGGCCACGTATTTCACGTGTCCACGCCCCCCAAGGGGGGGAGCCAATTTGGGCCCGTCGGATTCTTTACGCGTAGAAATGCGTGTGTGTGGATGGGCAACCTGCTCCTGGCGCGTGCGCGCGGGGTACGTGTTGTCACGTGTCCACGGCCCCCTGATGGGGGACCCAACTTGGGCGCGTCGGATTCCTTGCACATGAAAGTGCGTGAGTGGATGGGGTGTGAGGCAACCTGCGTCTGGCGCGTGCGCGCCTGGCGTGCATTTTTGTATGTCCACGGCCCCCAGAGGGGAACCCAACTTGGTCGCGCGGGATTCTTCACACGTGCACAGGCGCCGCCGTGCAGGAAGGAGGTGACGATGGGGGGAAGGAATGTGGAGGCAATAATATATGATGACGAGGAGGAGGAAGGAGGAAGGAGGACAGAGGAAGGGGGAAGGAGGACGGCGGAAGGCGGAAGGAGGGAGGAGTGAGGAGGGAGGAGAGGAGGAGGAGGGAGGAGGGAGGAGGGAGGAGAGGAAGGTGGAAGGAGAAAGTAGGGAAGGATGGAGGCGGGAGGAGGGAGGAGGGAGGAGGGAGGGAGGAGGGAGGGAGGGAGGAGGAGAGGGAGAGGAGGAGGGAGAGTGAGGGTGGAGGAGGAGGGGAGGGGAGGGAGGGAGGGGAGGGAGGGGGGCGGGAGGGAGTGAGGGAGGGAGGGAGGGAGGGAGGAAGATGAGGAGGAGGAGGAGGAGGAGGAGGAGGAGGAGGAGGAGGAGGAGGGGGAGGGAGGAAGATGATGATGAGGAGGAGGAGGATAAGCAGGACGTGCATGAGGTAGTGGTTGCAGCCAAGCAAGAGGAAAGTTCTGCACGCGCGCCAGAAGAGAGCTTGGATCAGGCTACTTGCCTAGTTCGTGGATCCCTCAAGTTTTTGGGCTCAGAGGATGCGCAACGCCTCATGGATGGTGGATTCCAGTTCGGGCCGATGTCCAGGTCGTGGTGGCGGCCGCCCGCGGAGGGTGCGCTGCCTCATTGCCAATGCCCTTCCCTACAATATGCGCATCCAACCAGAGACCCGCCTGCCTACAGGTGCCCCCTACGGAAACTTCTTCTCCCCCAGTGGCCCTTGGGACCCACAGAGGCATTGGAGCACCCTCGTGATGAGCGAACGGGGCGGTGGGGCTGTGGGCTATGGCTGCGTGTTGTCGGATGGGGGCCCTCCCTCCGACCCCGCTGTGGGTATGGGTGCGTGTTGTTCGCTCGTCACCTCAGGAGCTCACAGACCGACGTCGACTGTGCCCCTAGACTTCCGCTCTCTCCGCGGCCGCCCTGCCTTCCCGCGCCCCCCCCCCCCCCCTTCTTGCATCCAGAACACTTGTCCGCCGGGCGTCCCCGACTGCTGCGAGCGCCCGCGCGGATTGCCTCGGCCGGGCTGCGACGGAAAAGCGTGCCCCTGGATCTCCCGGAATTCCCGCAGCAGTGTGCATCGCGGTCGGACCGAGGTCTAGCATCGGGGTCGGTTCGGGGAGGGTGCCCCCAATGCTGTTCGTGTTTGTTGGACGCTCTTGAGCATCCTGGGGAGGGTACCCTCGGATGTTCTTTGTGCCTGGAAGGACGTTCTCCCGTCCCAGGCTCCCGAAGGATGCCCCATGCTCTTGAAGGATGTTCTTCCGTCCCATGTTCCCGTGCTCTCGAAGGACGTCCTTGAAGGATGCTCTTCCGTCCCAGGCTCGGCCGTCCGCGGCGCGGGAAGCGCCGAGGGGCCCGCAGCGCGGCCCGCCTGGTGTCCCCGGGGGGGTGGGCGGAGGTCTGGCGGCCGCCGGCCGCGGAGGGGGAGGAGGAGGAGGGGGGGTACGAGGAGGAAAAGGAGGAGGAGGAGGAGGAGGAGGAGGAGGAGGGGGAGGAGGAGGAGGAGGAGGAGGAGGAGGAGGAGGAGGAGGAGGAGGAGGAGGAGGAGGAGAGGCCTGGGAGGGTTTGGGGAAGGGCGAAGGCTTCTTGTAAGCATCCCTGCTTCTCGGGAGGCGCGGGCCTCGTCTGCAGGTGTGAGGCCGGCGCCTTCGAAGAAACGGCCTCTCTGCAAGGAGCCTCCCCATCTTGGCTTGCGTGCGCCGCCAGCATACCGGCATACTGCGCCGGCCGCGGAAAGGGAGGTGAGGGGAGGGCGGGGGTTCCGAGGGGGAACAAGGTAACCGCAGAACGTCTTTCCTGTAAGGCCCTCCGCTCTGAGCCCTCGGCTGGCAATTCAACAGGTCCTTCCCCTCCTCGTCCTTTCCCTCCATCGTCATCATCATCATCATCATCATCATCATCATCATCATCATCATCATCATCATCATCATCATCATCGTCATCGTCATCGTCATCGTCATCATCATCATCAGCATCAGCATCAGCATCAGCATCATCATCATCATCATCATCGTCGTCGTCGTCAGCATCACCATCAGCATCAGCATCAGCATCAGCATCATCATCTTCGTCGTCATCATCATCAGCATCCTCATCCTCCTCCTCACTACCACCACCACCACCATCATCATCATCATCATCATCATCTTCGTCGTCATCATCATCATCATCATCAGCATCAGCATCAGCATCAGCATCAGCATCAGCATCAGCATCAGCATCAGCATCAGCATCAGCATCAGCAGCATCATCAGGATTCTTCATCCCCCGATAATCAGCGGTGGCCGCCGCGGGGGGACAATTCTCTTCCCTGTATTGTTGGGGTTCCAATCCGCCAATGAGCCCGCGCAAAAAAAGAGGGAAGGCCTTGCGGCTGGTGCTGCTGACCCTGCATGGGGGAGGACGACCACGACGGCGGCGTCGGCGGCGACGACGACGCTGATGTGGAGCAGAGTCCTCAGGGATGCTTCGTGGGACTTCTTCGGAGCGCGCTCGTAGGCCTCCAGGGGGCAGTTTCGGGGCCTCTTGGGAGCATTTCGGGGGCCTCTTGGGAGCCTCTTGGGGGTCCCTTCGGACCTCCTGGGCCCTTGGGGGCCTCCTGGGGCCTCGTGGGGGGCCTTTTGGGGGCCCCTCGGGGCCTCCCAGGGGCTTCTGGAGCCCGAGGGCTCGAAATGTTCGTTCGGGCTCCCGTGTGGGCAGCCTCATGGGGCCGCCCCTTGGGCCGCCTGGAGGTCTCCAGGGCCGTCTTGGGGCCCTCTTGGGTAGTTTTTTGGCCGTCTTGGGAACCTCTTGGGGGCCTCCTGTGCCGATCGTGGTGGCATTCTGGGCCGTCTTTGGGCGTCGGGAAGCCGAACAGGCGAGAACGCCAGAATCTTTCATACACCTCGAGAAAAGAAGAAACATGGAACGGTGCCTGTTGGGGCCCTCTTGGTGTGCTCTTGGAGGCCTCTTCGAGCGTCTTAGCAGCCGCTTGGGCTGTCAGGAGGTCGTCTTAGGCGTTTCTCTGTGCCGACGTCAGTTCAGGCCCGCCTTGGGGCCTGGTCTTATTATCACCTGGAAGCCATGCGGACATGAAGCAACATGCATATGGTCTCAATCAATGTGCCTCGCATGCGAAGTAGTTGGCGTATTGGTTTACTTCGGGCAGGTTCTGGAGGCTTTCTGGTCCTCTTGCGGGCTGGCTGTAGTATCATGTTTGAGCACTTTGTGGTTTGTCCGGAGGAGTTTGTAAGGTTGCGTGGGATCAGTTCGAGGGGGGTTTGAGTTGACCCAAAGGGCCAGATGCCCTTACGGCAGAACCTTCCTAGACACTGTCCTGGCTGAGCTGTGTTTTCGTCGGGAAGCTGAACGCCTCAGGCGTCCCCGGCACCCCCAATCTTCCAGATAATCACATTATGGATGTCTTCCATACCGTATTTTCGGGAGCCGTTTTGGTTTATAGATTTGTTGGAGTTCCAGTTCGAGTTCGTCTTTGTCGAAATCTCACGCACTTGTACCAGCAGCTCGTTGGCCTCGGAAGCAATGGCCGCAGCCGCAGCGGCAGTCGTGGATTACAAGAACGTGGCCGAAGCAGGGGTGGTCGCCGTGAAGGGCTTCGCTGATGTGGGCGGCGCTGCAACAAGTGGCCAGTGCTGTTTAAACAAAGCGGCAATGATCAATTGCACTTCCAGTGGCGACGGAAAAGTCCTCGTCAAAGAGTGTCCAGATTGCGGTTACCAGTACTGCTCATATCATTTCCGTGCTACGGGAGCCTTGGCCAGTGGTGGGCATTGTTGTAGGAACGACCGGGGGAATAACCCCTCCAACAGTTGCGCAGTGCTTGGCCTGGCGCAGAACAGGTGCTCAGGGAAGCTCACGCAGTGCTTGACGTGCGCCAAGAAGAACCCGACACAGTCCTGGTACTGCGCATACCACATCTCGGAAGGAAGCTGGTATGGCATGATGGGAGGGCACGTGTGCGGATGAGGCCACGGATCTTCGCAGGTGCCCAGACCGCAGCGCGCGCACCGACCTCTTTGCGAGAGTGCACCGTTGCGGTGGCGAGCGGCCCCAAGACTACTTGCTGGTTTCAGCTCGGGCTGAGGTCGCACTTCCTAAGTAGTGAGGCCAATCCGCGCGAGGCGCACCTCCTTGTCGGGGCTCCAGAATTCGACCCGCTTCCGGCTCTGCGCGCACTGACCTGTTTGCCAGAGTGCGCCATTGCGTCAGTGAGCGACGCCAGCACCAGTGTCGATCTCAGCCGAGGCTGAGATCCCATGTTTAGTGGAATCAGCCCGCGGGGTGCCGCCTCCTCGTCCTCCCCTTCCCCGTTTGCCCCTCTTGGCCTGCCATCGCCCTGTTGGTTCTCCTCCCCATCCCTCCCTGCGCCTTTTCCTCCTGCCTCCCTCCCCCTCCCTTCTGCTTGCTCACGCTCCCCCATCCCTCCGCCAGATGAGGAGGAGGAGGAGGAGGAGGAGGAGGAGGAGGAGGAGGAGGAGGAGGAGGAGGAGGAGGTGCGGAGGAGGAATGAGGTGGAGGAGGAGGAAGAGGTGGAGGAGGAGGAGGAGGAGGAGGAGGAGGAGGAGGAGGGGGAGGAGGAGGCAGGTGGAGGCGGAGGCGGAGAGGAGAGCAGGAGCAGACGAAGAGGAGGAGGCGGGAGGAGGGAGAGGAGGAGGCGGAGGAGGAGGAGGAGGAGGAGGGGGGGGGGAGAGGCTTCGGAGATTTTGGGGAGTCCAGAGGCTCGAGATGTTTTGGAGGCCCGGGAGGTTCATTGGCTGTTCAGGCTTCGGAGGAGGAAGAGGAGGGAGAGGAGGATTGGTGAGGCCCTGGGCTGCGCACGGGCAGCCCGCCCCCCTCCTCGGGCAGTCTTGGCTGGCCGCAACAGGCCCCCGAGTAGTCTGGGGCGGTCTCGAGGGCTGTCTGTGCGCAGCCCGAGGTCTTACCCAGAAGGAAGTTCCGTGCGTCCCGGAGGGGGCAGCAGGTCTCGGAGGTCTTGGGGAGTCCAGTGGTTCTGCAGGCTTCGGAGGAGGAAGAGGAGGAAGACGAGGAAGACGTGGAGGAAGCTCCGGAGGAGGAGAAGAGCGAGGAGGCCAGATGCGTTGTTGTTGGTGATGGAGGCCTTGGAAGGGTGGAGGAAGAAGAGGAAGAGGAGTAATAACAAGAAGAGGGAGCGGAGGAGGGAGAGGTTTTGGCCTGGCTTCCGGAACCAGGGGAGGGGGGCGAGGGATGCCAAGGAGGAGGGAGGGAGGGGGATTTTGTCCAGACTCCAGAGCCGAGAGACGAGCAGAGAGAGAGGGGAGAAGGAATGAGGGGAGAGGCTCGTCCGGGCTCCAGAATTCCATCCGCGTTCGTCTCTGCGCGCGCTGACCTCTTTTTGCCAGAGTGCGCCGTTGCGTCAGTGAGCGACGCCAGCACCAGTGTCGATTTCAGCTGAGGCTGAGATCCCCATGTTTTTTGAAATCAGCCCGCGGGATGCCGCCTCCTCGTCCTCCCTCTCCCCGTTTGCCCTTTTGGCCTTGCCATCGCCCTGCTGGTTCTCCCCACTCTCTCCGTTATCCCCTTCAATCCTCCCTCTTCATCTACTCCCTCCCTCCCCTCTTTCTTCCCTCGCGTCTCCCTGCTCTGATTCCCCCCCCTCTTCCTCCCTCCCTCCCTCCCCCACCCTCCGCCTCCGCCTCCTCCCTCCGTCCTCCTCCGTCCTCCTCGTTCTGGTCGCTCCCTAGCCTCGTCCAGCTCCTTCCAGGCAATATCGCTTCCCGACCCTCCTCCTCTCGGCGGCTGCGCCCGCGGTCTCTTCTGCGCAGTGCGCGGGCCCCTGCTGCAGGCGCCCCCGCGTGCGAGACCGCGCGCGGGCACCGCCGAGGGCTCCGCGGCAGGGCGCGCACTGACCTCTGCGACCCGCGTGTCCGGCTCTGCTCGCGCTGACCTGTGTGCGAGAGGGTGTGTGCCACTGCGCAGTCAGGCGTCAGGGCCAGTGTCGATCCCAGCTCAGGCTGGAATCCAATATCTAGTGAAATCAGCCCGCGGGGTGCCGTCTCCTTCGCTTCCCCCCCCTGCCCACTTTTGCCTCAGCCTCCCTCCTCTCTCCGCCCTTCTCCCGCTCTTCCACGCCGTCTTTGCTCGCTTCTTTTCTCGCCTCCTTCCTCCATGCTCCCGTTCCCTCCTGCCTCTCCCCGTCCTCCCTGCCTGCTCCCGCTCTCTTCGCCCTCCCTCCTTCCCCAGTGCCTCCTCTTCAGGACGAGCTCCTCCCCGCCTCGCCACCACGCGCGCCCGTACGCCGGCTGGGAAGTTTTTGTACGTACAGCGTTTTTTCCCCAACCATCTTTTGGTGTTGGGTCCTCGTTTTGGAGCGACAGCGCCCCGCTCTCCTTCCTTCCTTCCTTCCTTCCTTCCTTCCTTCCTTCCTCCTCAACCGCCTCCTCCCGCTCCTCCCTCCATCCTCCATCATTATCCTCATCATCACCCTCGTCATCACCGTCATCATCATCACCATCACCATCAGCATCATCACCATCATCATCATCACCACCATCGTCATCATCATCATCATCATCATCATCATCATCATCATCATCATCATCATCATCATCATCACCATCATCATCATCATCATCATCATCATCATCATCATCATCATGCTGCCCGCGGCTATTTGTGGCTCTCTTTCGGGCCGCGCTTCCATTCTCAAGTCTCTCAGGTGTCTTGCCCAGTGATGCAAGACATCGCCCACCATGCGGCGGACGTCCTGAGGTACGGGGCGCAGGCGCTGGGGGCCACTGTCGTGGCGCGGGCCGCCGCGCCGAGCTGCGGAGCCTGCTCGCCGCACCTGGCCTGCCCCGCGCCTCCGACCCTCTCCTGCCCCGCCTGCGTCTGCGCTGGCGCGGGCGGGCACGTGGTCGAGCCCTCGTGTCTGGGCCTCGTCACGGCCTACTCGGTGGCCGCGCTGACCATCGGCCTCGCTTTCGGGGCCGCGGGAGGCGCCTGGGCGGCGCGGCGGCTTCTCGGACCGACGCCCCGCCAGCCGCCCGCCGTGGTGGAGTTCGTGGACGGCATTGACATCGCCGCCCTCGCGGCTCAGCAGGTTCGTGACGCCAGAGCCCGCGCCCCTGCGCTGCAGTGATGGCAGGCAGCTTCCACGTGCTGCGCTACCGCGTCGGCGGCGCACCCCTGTGGCACGAGCGCCTATTGCTGGGCGTCAACGGGGGCCTCGGCTACATCCTCACGCCCGACTTCGACGACTACGACGAGCCCATCGTCGTCGGCCCCGACGTGCGAGCGGTCCTGCAGCTCGCGGGCCAAGGCGACACGCCGCCAGCGCTGGCGGGCGTCGCGGTGCACCGCTTTCGCCGCCTTCCGACGGCCGCTGAGCTGTGGGCGGCTGTCGCGCGCTCGGTGGCCGCAGGCTACCCGAGGCCCCCCGACCCTCTGCCGCTGGCGCTCGCGGCGGGCAACGTCGTAGGCGTCCCGCCTGGTCCCTTCCCGCTGGCGGACCCTGCGGCTGCCGCAGCCCCGCTGCCTGCCGCCCTGCCTCCACCTCCTGGCGGGGAGGGGGCGGCGCTGCCTGCGGGGGCCGCGGCCCCGCTGGCGATGCCCCCCGCGGCCGCGGCCGCTGCGGCGGCCTCTCTTGGCGTCGCCCCTGGCGTCGCTGCGCTGGCCGCCGCGCTGGGAGCCGTCCCGCCTGGGCCTGCTGGGCCTCTGCCGCTGGTGCCCGCTCCTGCACTGGAGGCTGCGCCCGCCGCCGCCGCCCCTGGGGCGCCTGCCCCCACTGGCGACTTCAGGGTCCTCCCGATGCTGCTCAACCCGAGGGGCGAGCGCGAGAGGAGGTTCGGAGAGACCGTCAACGCCCTCGCTGAGACCCCTGTGCAGGGTTGGCCCGTGCAAGGGCCGAGGGCCCTCCTCTGGTGTTTGTCCTTCATGTCGACGATGGCGGGTACGCCCACCGCGTGGCACCAGAGGTGGCTCACGTCGATGGCCCTGCCCGGCGAGGACGAGCACGCCAAGCTGCACGAGACGCTCTGCCGCGTCCTGGACCTCGCCGTCGTGTACGATCAGCTGCAGATCGCCGAGATGGCTTCGTTCGAGATCATCGCTCGCCAACTTCAGCTCCTAGAGGAGCGGGTGTACGAGACGCGATCGCCACCTCCGAGTGGCGCAGCCCCCAAGGCCAAGGCCGCGGCTAGAGGCGGCGCCTCAGCTGGGACTTCCAGCTCACCTGAGACCAGCTACTTCCTCGGCGCTGGTGTCTCCAAGGCCAATCTCTGCATCTCGCCGAAGTTTCTGGAGTACATCGCAGACCAGATGAGGGCGGAGGCCGCCATCAGCAAAGAGCGCCGCAAGGCTCGCGATGAGCGGGCCTTGCGGGCGCCATGACGCCTGAGAACTTCAGGTCTGGCTGTGGGGCGCGCCACAGTGGCGCCAGCCAGGCTCCTTGCCCCCTCGCTGCACCACCCTTTCGACAGCGAGACGTTTCCCCCCTCCGCCCTATTCCTGTGGAGCGAAGATCAGGGACTTCATCCATGGGCGGGTCGGCACGCAGACGGGCCGCCAGGGGTGCTGCGTGGCGGGAGTGGTACAACGACGCGGTGTCCACGCTCAACGACATGTACCACTGCGACCCGAACGATGTGATCAGCCCGCCTCCTGGTATTCCTCCGCGTGCTCGTAGTGACGTTGAGGGGTATCTTGCTCAGCAGTATCGCGAGTTTGAACTACCTCCTGGATATTCCGAATCTCCTCCAAGATGCGAGGCAGCCCTCGCAGAGTTGTTCGCATCGGCGCCTGGGTACTCTGGAGAGTCTCGGGTAAGACCCTACAACAAGGAGCTCGTCTCCTGGCCGAAGCACGTGGCGCCTGTCCCGACGGCCGACCTCGTGTCTGACGCCGATCGGTCTATGTTGGCAGGGTGGAGGCATCAAATGCTACGTGACCCTGCTGATGCAGCTGCTCTCAGGAAGGACTCGGGTCTGGGGTCGCCCTATGTGGATCCA